AAGTCAATAAAAAATAGGCGAGATAGGTTGGTAGGACATCTTCTCAGGCATGAAGGTCTAGTCAGAGACATATTAGAGGCAGAACAGGAGTTACGAGGGGTAGAGGTAGACCTACGTTAGATTACTGTTCGCAAATAGTTAAAGATGTGGGTTGTTATAGTTTTAGGGAAATCCGAAGATTAGCTCAGGATAGGAAAGAGTGGAGGTACGTGTCCAATCAGTCTTAGGACTGACGACCTTATGATGATGATGATCAACATCTTTTGAATACTGCTGGCTCATGCCGAAGTGACTTTAATAACAGTAGAAACAATAGGAGAACAGAGGACTCTATGGAAGTCAATAAGAAATAGGCGAGATAAGTTGATAGGACATCGTCTTAGGCATGAAGGTCTAGTCAGAGACATATTAGAGGCAGAAACAGCAGTTAAGAAGAGTAGAGGTAGACGTAGATTAAATTACTATTCGTAAATAGTTAAGGATGTTGAATGTTCTAGTTTTAGTGAAATATAAACATTGCACGAAACTCATTACGGTCACTATGAAAAATTTTTCTCATCAACTCCATGTGTTTTAGGCTCCTCCTCCATTTGACAAGTACCAACACTCAAGACACTTAGCATTAGGGTTAATACTCCGACATCGTTTTGCAATACGACAATGTCTATTTAACTTACGTATAAATTGCAGCAAATATATCATGTGTTAAATAAAAAGCCGGTCAAGTGCTAAGTTGGACTCACGCACCAAGGTTCATAATAAACTTGTAGGTATGTGAACAGTTTGTCCGTAATAGGTATTAAAACTTTTGTCGTTTATTCCGAGTATATTTTATGTTTCCCCCCAAAATCGGTCCCTAAAATGTAACTACAAGTTTACAGTTTTCGGAGTTTTTCCTTTACTTGTGCTATAAAACATTTTTGGCAAATTTCATGATTAACGGGAGTACCCTGTAGGTTTTGGTAGGTTTTGATTCCCTTTGAATGTTAGCATATGGAGCATAAACCGCCATATGTATTAATTGTGTTGACTTAGAAGTTTGATTTTTTCACAGCTTCAAGGGATTACAGGCCTGATTATTTGATATTAATTTCAACTTGATACCTCGACGCGTTCTTGAGAAAAAAGGTCTTAACAGATAGACTAACAATCAAGTAATCCTATAAGGGTTCCTTTTTTTCTTTTGAGGTACGGAACCCGAGAACCCGAGAACAGGAAAGAAGCTGTCGTTCTTTCTGTATCTCGTAGTGACTAATGTCTGCCATATTCATTATTTCGTTGTGCCATCTACCATTTGTCACCAGTCGTGATATAATGAAATGCAAGTACATACCTACCGGTAATTTATTTGCACTCGTGTAAACGTCCTTACTAATCGACTCAGGTCGCAAATTTGCATATTGAATTCAAAATTTTAAATAACAGACTTAAATGATTATACTATTAGTGCCCGAAATTGAAATTTGGTATTGTTTTTTGTCACTATGACTTAATGAGGGTATAATCATTGTAAATATAATTGAAGGTTTCATTATTTACGGTGTAATTATGTTAAAATCTGTAGATATGTATCTACCTCGTGGTTCTAATTGTAAGCAAAATACATAGTGCGTGTAGTGTCAAAATGTAAAGACCCTTTAATTTGGGAAAATACTTGGAAGATTTAATTAAACACGAAGCTTTTATTTCATATTCGGGCTTAATAAAATTGTTCTTTAACGGGCAATAGAATATGTAGTTATTATAGTTATAACTACTGTATATTAAAGAAACAGGTATCAAAAAATTACCTGAATTAATGAACTTTTGTTAGCTGTTATAAATATTTATAATGATATTGGTTTATATAAAAACTAGATACATTTTGTAAAACAATTGTTCTTATCGACCAAATATGTATAATTTCAGAAAGAGCTGATCTCGTTTGGATTTTTGATTAGCTTTAGGTTTACTTTTTTTGATATGATCTCTTGAGAAATTTACAATACAGGCAAGTACTACTTTTTTTGTAGGTAATTAGAATAAAGTGCAAAATGACACTTTTCCGACCAAAAAATCTAAGACTATTTACACGGAAAGAGAGTTACAAAATTTTACTGGAAAAATATTTTTTTTATACATATAAAAAACATATTATGAACTAATATTATATATATTTTGCTGCTAATACCGGGTATCCGAAATACCCAAAGAGATTTTAAGTTTTTTTCTTTCTCGGCTTTACACGAATTGAGAAAATTTCTGAAATATTTTTTGTTGGATGCTCCATGGATCGTCCACTTTATCTATTAACAAAAAACTTTGAAATAGACGTTTTTCAGTTCTATTTAAAGCTCTGAGAAATAATTTTCTTGTCGCTAAATTTATAGTAATTAAACAGTAAAATCATGATTTGAAATAAAACTCAGTTGTTTATAAAAATAATATTGAACATTGCGTTTATTTACCTATTTGTTATTTTAACAAATTTGTTTTTTTAACAATATATACATACATTGATTTATTTTCATACAGCGGATTGAAGAAATTAGGAAATTCGTTATATTATGAAATCGCTGTGTCCGGATGAAGTTTACATCTGTCTAAATTTCATTTTTTATAAACTTCTAGCAAACCATCCAATGACAGTTTATTTAACATAAATGTTACATATTTGTTTTATTATCTTGTTGTTTATTACTCTTAACAGTGACGGTTCGTAGTGAAGCTGCTACTTCAGAAAAATTTTAGTACCTACCTATTTGTTTTAAAATCGTATAAAAGGAAAGACATTAAAAGTAATAGCTTCCATCAGCACGCCGGGGTTGGTACTGCGGGAGCGACAGTGCTCACTCTTCTAGGCAATCAACTGTGAAGTTGTATAGCCCACAGTTTACCACAAATAGCTTCGTATTATTTTCATAAACTGAACTGTAGTAATTGATATTAAGCTTAGTGATTACATTTTGTACAAGTACAAAGAAATTAATGAAAAAAGGACTCATTATAATTAAACGTTGTAGCTAAATTTTAGCCGGCGGAAGTACCTAATATAAAAATAAAGGCCGCTGCAATGATAGTCTTCAATTTTTGTCTATATTTGAGTTGAATTCCGATCATTGTTCAGTTCCGCTGTTTGTTAATAACATTACACCCAGAGCTGAGTAAAATAAAGGGCATGACTACGACAATGTCGTAACCTTATGATCCTAACAAAAACATTCTTTGGTTAATATATTTAATGTTAAAGAAGAAAAAACCTACAGCATTGTCTACGCATAGAGGTCCGGTCAGCCTACATGGCAGCCAACCATCGATAGCACTGGGCAATTTCCGATCTAAATATGTTTATCTAACTGGACGTTAGTCTCTGTGTGATATTTGTTAATTGATATGCGACAAAATTTCAATATATGAAGTACTGTTGCACTGCGTCTGCGCGAATTTCCAAGTTTAGAGAGAATTTACTTTTTTACTTACATAAACGAAGAAAATATCGGCGGATTTTCAATACAGGATATTTCTGAAATAAGTGGCATGCATGCAAGAGGCGATATAGCACTATAAATCAAGAAAATTAAATGTTTAGTGGTCCAAAAGTCCACCGTTTTTGATAAAAACGAATTTAAAACAACAGTCCGACCCTGGTGGGATCATGCAGGGAAACACGATATTATACTTCGCCATCGCTGCAGTCTCCATGTTCACGCCCAGGGTCGGCTTCGGATTGCAACTTCGTGTGGATTTCTTTTTTTTGTCCCTTAACCACACTGCGATTCTCTATTGCATCTAGTTTACACTCTCAAAAGCTTGCTACTTATTCCAGAAACACCCTGTATAGTGGTATTAAGTCCGCCGGTCCCTTTTCTCAGAACAGGTAATTCCACCTGAAGATGTTTAATCACTTCCTATATTAAATGTTGTCGATAATATCAAGAAGTAATATTAGGAAAAATGTAGTGCATTTCCAGAGTGTTTACATGTAGACCGTCACTGACTACTGAGTACTTTCACGTACGAATGTCCGTGTACGTTCATATATCGTGAGTAAAGGGTGACGTCTTGCACATATTGCGGTTGCATTTCTTGTCCAGAAAGATGTCCGTTTTGCACTTCAGAACCCCAAGATCTTGATAAATCTCGCGACCAAGTAAGATGGAGAGGTCTGCAGGCAGTGCGCCTTTCGCAACCATGATAATTCAACAGTTGACATATTTTAAAAGTATTTTAAATTCTGCAGATGTTTCGCGAGAAGCATTAAACGCAGTTATAATTCACGTAACCGGTACAGATGTACCTTAACGATTGCGGCTTAGCCATCATAGCAACGGAATGGTCTGGTTATAGTAAGTGAAGATTTTAGAATGCTTATGTATTCTGTTTACAAATTGAGACGGTGTATATTTTTGCAACTTTACGTTACTTTCAAAGAACGTTCAAAGAATTTCATTTCATTTTTGTAAACAACATTATCCAGTTCAGTTAAAAATTCCTTTTGAAAATTTTTCGGTTGAAATCGCTAACGATAAAAATAAAATCGTAACTTTTTGACTATTTATATCGAACTATCAGTAACATTGAATGAATATGGGTAATAATAAAAAATTTATGAAAAAAGGAAGCTGTAATAGGTATATGTATCTACTATTTCCGGACCCCCCTGAAGTTAAGAAAGTGTTTACAGTTGAAATTGTGTAAAAGTAAAATATGAAGTACAAGCTGTGTCCGCGGTCTTTTCTTCTTGGAGTTCACTTTGTCACTATGAGTTACATTTTATCAATTTGTAGGTGCTGTGGCGGACTTCTGTACAGGTTTTTTTGATAATAAGTCTCTTCTATATATTCTTTTTTATGTACCCACTAACCCAAAATTCAAAGGAATAACTAGTAATTAACTTACCTAAAATCTCATGTGTATATTTAACTACCTTTTGTCCAAAAAGTATCACTTGAAGAATCGTTGTTTGTATTTGTTGCATAATGATGTAATTCCTATAAGTACAATTACCATTATCTTTTCAGGTATGCAGCGGAAAATGTCAGTGAAGTAATTCTTCCCTTGTATGGCATTCTGAGGAATCCCATTGCTATATATATTTCCAAAACACTGAATCAACGAAAGTTTCATTCTTCGTGTGCACATGGACCAATTCTATACCGTCTTTTTCAAGTAAGTTCAGTTTTTAAAAGTTAAATGATAAGTTTTGGAATTATACATAAAAATATAAATAGAATAATCAACAACCTCATTAAACCGGGTTCTGGACCCACCTAAGTCTTTTTCGGATTATTCTTAGTTTATATGGATATTTTGTGTTACTCGCTCCAAAAAATAGAAGAAGATAAGTATGTAAACTTCAAATTTCATGATCTTTCCACAAACGGAAGGTAAGAAAATATTAGTAGCATTTCAAGGGTAGTCTCGGAAAAATATCCCAAAAATAGGCCTGTACTTGATAAGTGAAACTGTGACTAGGTATTATCATTAAAAGGTTAGTACATTTTATATCAAATGATCTATTTCACCGATTCGATCAGACGGGACTTGAACCTTGACGAAGGAGTGGGTGGATCGGCTTTCGAGTTTCGACCATTTAGGTAGCCGGACTGTAGGTTCAACCATAGTGGGGGGTTCTTAAAGAGAAACCGGACTAACACAAGTCCACCAAGCGGCATGGCCTAGAGGTCTAGACCATTGCTTAGCATTCGGGAGGACGCCGGTTCGATTCCGGGTCCGTCTGCCTTGGTCCAAGTTTTAATGTGGTTTCCTTGGATCACTTAGGCAAATGCTGAGGCCGTAATATTCCACAGATAATCTTTCATTCTCTTCTGTCTTCATTTCGTCCGTCTCAACTTTCTCGCCCGAACCACCACCCATCCATTCCCACGATTCCTGAAAGCAGGCTGAAGAGAGCCTTCCGCCCTACCTTCCGGCATAGTCCGGAGGGACTGCCCGCCCACCAGCATTACTAGCTGGTGGGAAAGAAACACCCAAAAGTTTTTTTTTTAACACAAGTCCCTGAAAGACGGCAGCAGCTCTTTCAGTACTCAGGGTTGCAGAGATCATTAGGATCGGTATGGCACTCCGTTGCACAATAGTACGATGTGGAAGACAACGTGAAACCACCACATTATGATATCCTAAGAAAAACAAACCGAACTCAAATAATAGCGTCCTCTGGGGTAAAGCACTCCGGACGTAAACTAGTCCCTCATTCGGATATCCAGACGGGAACTACCTCTGGGGATGTCATCAATAAGTGCAATAGGGGAAGGTGCAATATTTCACGAGTCGGAGAGTGGAATGTTAGGACAATGAGGCAAGTAGGGAAATTAGAAAATTTAAAAGTTGAGATGAAGAGACTAAAATTAGATATAGTTAGGCATTAGTGAAGTCTGTTGGCCAGAAGCTGGAGACTTCTGGAGTGGAGACTTTAGAATAATACATACAGGATCGGTAGAAGGTTATTCCGGGGTAGGAATTGTAATGCGTAGGAAAGCAGGACAGAGTGTAGGAAGTTATTTACAAAACAGCGGTAGGATAGTTATAATTAGTTCAATAATGTTTCATTTTACTTTATTTATATAAAAACTAAATAATTTTGAAAACCAATTGTTCTTACCTACCAAATATGTATGATTTCAGAAGCAGTTAGTCTCGTCTGGACCTCTAATTGATCTTAGGTCTACTTTTATTTTGATATGATCTTTTGAGAAATTTAATGTATAAGTAGGTAATTAGAATAAAGTGCAAAATGACAATTTTTCGGCCGAAAAATCTAAGACTATTTGCAACCACTGATAGCACAGCTACTGCTAGATACTGGAAACACCTAAAAAGTTTTTCTTTATGACGGCTTAGCACGAGTAGAGAAAATGTCTGAAATATGTTTTGTGAGATCGCTCATTTTACTTCTTAACAATTAGTTTTTCAGAAAATGTTGAAATAGGCGCTTTTTAGTTCTACTATCTGAGTACAAATTTTTAAGTCGCTCATTCGAAATAAGTCAGTTAGTTGTAAAAATTATATTGAACACTGAATTCTCTTACCTATTTGTTATTTTACTTTGAATTTATTCGAGTGAAACATATAAAGAAAAGTAGCTGCCGGAGTAAAGGACTTGCAGTTTTATTATTTTCACGAGTAAATCGTTCGCCACCCTGCTAACAGAGAGATGTTTCTTGGTCATTAATGTTTTGGGCCAGAGAGAACTGACCCTATGGCCTGTTATTTCTGGATTTAATCGTCTATAGACAAGCCCTCGCAAAACTTTGGGAAGTACATCTTCGAAAGAGCTATTTCGTGTTTTGCAGTGACAGTTAAGCGTTCGTTTACGAATAGCACTAGAATTTATTAACTTGCTGCTAACAGAGACACGAGAAACTTATTTTTATCGGTACAAAATATGATACTTTGTACTTTTCTTGCCAAAAAAGAAATATTTCAATTACCGAAGTGAAATGTGCGGCAG